TATGGATTGTACTGAGAACATCCAATCTGTTTCTATTATCCTTGATGGGTCTGATTATGTTAGTTGGGCCCAAGCTCTCTCTAGCTTTATCAAAGGCAAACGCCTTTGGTGGATCATTACTGGTGCTCTTCTCAAACCTAACCAGAAGGAGGATGAGACTGACTCTACATTCGATGACCGTCTTGACGAATGGGAAAGTAAGAATTATCAAATTATCACATGGTTTTAGGCTACCTTAATTCCTTCCATCAACCTTCAGTTTGGACGCTTTCAGGAAGATGATTCCATTGCCTCTCCTACCAAAGTAATTTGGAATTTCTTGAAGGAACGTTATCAAACCACTGGACATGCTCATCAGTATCAACTATTGCAAACTCTTCATCACATGCGCCAGCCACTTGATCAATCTCTCAATGACTTCTTATCCCAGATGTCATCTGTTTGGGACCAGCTCGCTCTTTCTGAACCTTTATGGCCTCATTCTGATGATGCATAGTTATTTATTATCTATCGGAATCATCAACGACTATTGTAGTTTCTTATGGCTCTTCATAGCACTTTTGAGCCCGTGCGTGTTTTTTTGCTCCATCATTTGCCCTTGTCTACTTTAGAGCAAGCCATTATTGAGCTACTATCATAGAAGACTCGTTTTGGGATTCTCAAATCTCTAACCATGGATTTTATTCTTGTTACACCATCATCTCAGAGTTCTTCATCTCCTCAGCCATTTAGTCTATGCAGTTATTGTCGCAACCGTGGCTTGCCAGCCAATCATTCTCTTGTTTAGTGCCAGGTTTGCGAATGCTTGACATGTCACAAGACTGCTCCAGGTCATCTCCAAAGCAATTGTCCTCAAGCTTCTTCCACTACTTTATCTAAGACCAAGTCTTCTCACTCTAGATATCAGTCCAATTCTGGCCAAGGTTCTCGCTTTGCTGCTGTTGCCTCTGAGGGTTTTTTACTCACCACTCCACTGATTCCACTACTCCTTCCTTCTCTATGGATGATGTTGAGTCCATCATCAACCAAGTGCTCGCCAAATCTGGTACTCCCCCCTCTACTGCTCTTTTAGTGACCTCAGGTAACTCTTTATGGTACTTTGATTCCACATGCTGTAATCATATGACTTTTGACTCCATTATGTTTTCTTCTTTCTCATCATCATCTTCTGTGCACACTGTTAATGGTTCTCATATGTCTGTTAGTCACATTGGCCCAATCTCTACTTCCACAGTGTCTTTTTCTGATACTTATCACATTCTTGCTCTTCAATTGAACCTTATCTCTGTTGGTCAGTTTTGTGAACTTGGTATAACCGTTACATTTTCTGCTAATGATTGTTTGGCGTAGGACCCTCAGACGAGACAGATCCTTGGGATAAGCCGTAAGCATGGAGGTCTGTTCGAGCTTCTACATCTTCGTATTCCACACAAAGCATCTACTGATACTTCCATTGCTTTCTCTACTGCATCTACTTTTCATCTTTGGCATTGTAGCTTCGGACATGTCTCTTTTAGTTATTTGAAACCTTTGGTTTCTAGTGGTCAGTTAGGTCATGTCCATCTTGAAGATGTCGATTGTTTATCTTGTCAAATTGCTAAACAACCTACTTTACTTTTTAATCAAAGTACTTTTATTTCTACTGCTCCTTTAGATCTTGTACATTCTGATATTTGGGGACCTTCCCCTACACCAACCATGGGGGGGTCAAGATACTTTGTGATTTTTGTTGATGATTTTTCTCGCTATACTTAGCTTTTTCTTCTCAAAAATCACTTTGAACTTAAGCAAAATTATTATGATCTCTCTGTCATGGTCCGTACTCAGTTTTCTCATACTATTGAGATTTTTCATTCTGCTAATGCTAAAGAGTACTTGGATTCTAATTTTCTTTCTTTTCTTTGAGCTCATGGTACACTATCTCATCGATCTTGTGCAAGCACATCCTAACAAAATGGCCGAGCCAAACGGAAGCACCGTGATATTCTAGACACTACCCGAGCTCTTCTCATCTCCTCTTCTTGTCCTGAAAAATTTTTGGGAGAAGCTGCCCTCACTGCCATTCACACCATAAATCGTATCCCTACACCTGTTATCACTAACACTTCTCCTTACGAGCACTTGTATGGTTCTCCTCCTGACTATATCATTATTAAAGTTTTTGGTTCTGCTTATTTTGTTCTACTCCAGCCTCATGAACACACTAAACTAGAACCTCATTCTCGTCTTTGCTGTTTTCTAGGATATGGTATAGAACATAAAGGGTATCGTTGTTAGGATCCTATCTCCCAGCGCCTTCGTATTTCCTGTCATGTGGTCTTTTGGGAACACAAAATGTTCTCATTCTTTCCAAGTTTCAACTACCACAGTCCACTCACTCACCAGCCTTTATCGATATTTCCATAGACTTGTTTTCTAATGAATTTGATGCAGATTCTGGCTCCATGCTTCCATAGTTGCCTACGCCTATCGTCTATCCTGAGGATCCTGTGTTTGCTGACGGTCCTACGCCTTCTCCAGCTCTTGTGGAGGTTTCTCTATCTCCACCTCCCATTGAGGTTCCTTCTCCACCAAAGCGTCACTCTATACGGGTAAGGCAACCTTCTATTTTTCTCTGTGATTATATTGTTGGTTCTACTGCCTTTTTCTCCCATGAACCTACTTCCTATCGAGAAGCTTGTTTTAACCCTCTTTGACAACAAGCTACAACTAATGAACTGCAGGCTTTCGATAAAACTCATACCTGGGATGTGGTTTATCTTCCTCCTAGAAAGAGTACTGTTAGTTGCAAATGGGTTTACAAGTTCAAAACTCATTCTGATGGTTCTATTGAGCGTTACAAAGCTTGCCTTGTAGCCTGGGGCTTTACTCAAGAATATGGGATTGATTATGAGGAAACATTTGCTCATGTTGCTCGTCTTACTTTAGATAGATGTCAAGAATGCATTGCTCAATGGTGACCTCACTGAGGAAGTTTATATGCAACATCTTCCTGGTTCTTCTGTTCCATCAAACAAAGTTTGCAAACTTCGCCGTGCTTTGTGTGGTTTGAAACAAGCTCCGCGTGCCTGGTTTGCCAAGTTTAGCTCCACTATTCGTGACTTCGATTTTTCCTCTAGTGCCCATGATTCTACCTTGTTTATACGTAAGACGGAGCGTGGTATTATTCTCCTTCTCCTCTATGTGGATGATATGATTATCACTGGAGATGACACAGTGGACCTTTCTAGTCTCAAACAGTTTCTCAATCACCAATTTGAGATGAAAGATTTGGGTTTGCTTAACTACTTCTTTGGCTTAGAAATTTCCCAAGATTCCTCTGGTTATTTTCTTACCCAGGCCAAGTATACTTCTAATCTCTTGGCTCATGCTAGCCTTACCGAATGCAAGGCTGCCACTACTTCGGTTGATCCTCAAGCTCGTCTTACCCCCCTTGACAGTTCCCTACCGACTGATGCCACTTTATATCATCAACTAGTTGGCAGTCTTGTCTATCTCACGGTTACTCGTCCAGATATTGCTTATGCTGTCACATTGTCAGTCAGTTCATGGCTGCTCCTCGTTCTCCATACTATGATGCTCTAGTTCGCATTTTGCGCTATCTCAAAGGAACTCTATTTCATGGTCTTCATTACTCCCCTCACTCTTCTCTACAACTGCATGCATTTTCTAATGCCGATTAGGTTAGGGATCCTACTGACCGTCGTTCCACTACTAAGTTTTGTTTTTCCTTGGACAACTCTCTCATTTCCTGGCATAGCAAGAAACAAACTCTTGTTGCTCGTTCTAGTACCGAGGCTGAGTATCGTGCTCTTATTGACACTACTCAAGAGCTTGTGTGGCTTTGTTGGCTTCTTTCTAACATGGGAGTTTCTCATTCTACTGCCACCAACCTTTATTGTGACAATCAGAGTGTGATTCAAATTGCACATAGCGATGTCTTCCATGATCGCACCAAGAATATTGAAATTGATTGTCATTTCATACGTCAGCATGTTACTAGTGGCCTTATTCGTCTTCTCTTTGTTACCTCTATTGATCAGACTGCCGATCTCTTCACCAAAACTCATATTCCAGGCCGCTTCTCTGATCTCCTCTCTAAACTCAAGTTGAAATCTGCCTTACCACCTTGAGTTTGAGGAGAGGTGTTAGCTGTATATTATTATACTTATCTATTTGTATTGTAGATATATCTCTATCTCTATGTCTATCTCCTTCTATATTTATCTCAATCTCATTGTATCTCTATCTTCTTATGTACTTATCTAGGTTTCTTATCAGCCTATATATACAGGCTTCTATTATTGTATTATTCATTCAATTCAATATATCAGAATTACTCTCATAACATATTTAAACTTTGTTTTCAGCACCCAAAAAAAAATTAAAATAAAAACTAGATTTTTAATTAAGGATTTGTTAATGAAAAAGAAACTTTTTAAAAATTTTCTAATATTAAAATTTTATGAGATAAAATATATATAATATTTTTATAGTAATTAAAATTCTTTCACTTCAATACAAAAAAATTTCAATTTTTATAGGGAAATTTTATTAATTTTTTCTTAATAAACTTCAGTGCAAATAAATACCGCAAAATACAAAAATATATATATATCTATCTATCTATACTATTATAAAGTGAACACCTCCTATGGTGTCCTGAAACTTTACTCTCCTCATGTCATGTGGCAGTATTTTTTATTTTTTTAAAAAAAAGTTAAACAAAGAGAAGTTAAACAAAGAGATTTTTTATTTTTTTAAAAAAAATTTAAACAAAGAGATGGGCAAAGCTTGAACCCACGACCATTAGTTTAAATACGAGGACTCATACCACTTAAGCTAAGTACACATTATAATATAAATTTCATTATTATTTTTTTTTATTCCTACTTATTTAAATTACACACATATCGTGTGTGCCACCTATATATATATATACATATATATTGTCAATACACTTTTCACATAGTCCATTGTGATTGTCTCCATTGCATTACTGTTTTTCTCTATAGAGAGAGAGAGAGAGAGAGAGAGGCCTCGCTCCCGAAAAGTAAGAGGCTCAAATAACAAGATATGGATTCAGCTTCAGTTTCAGTTTCAGTTTCAGCATCACAAATTGCTGCGAAATTGAATCTGAATTCCCACCCAGAAGGTGGGTTTTACTCAGAAACCTTCAGAGATTCTTCCATCATTCTCCACACTTCTCAGCTTCCCTCCCAATGTAAGTCCCTTCCCATTTTCAACATCTTTCGGATCTGATCTGGGTATCTCTTCAATCCCTTTTTAATTTTCTTATTTATAGTCTATGCATTTATGTATATATTCATTGACGTGATCTGGGTTCTTAAATTGGCATAGTTATTCTAATCTTTTGAAGTCAACCAAAAACAAAATTGGGTTTTTTTTTTTCACTTTTGGAATCTACTGTAGTGTTTGATCTGGGAATTTGCTTTTCTGGGTTCCCTCCTACATGGAGGATGCATCTAATTAGGGACAATTCGAGCTCGGCTTATTTATGTAATCAAGTTGATTGGAGCCGAGTTTGAGTTTCTCAAATACTTCAAGAGCCAAAGCTTAAGCTCTATTCTTTAAGCTTGACTTGACTTCAGTTTGAGCTCCTGAAATAGCACTTGGGTATAGGATTAATCGATTTTTTTACACAAACAATGAAACTAACACACCCTTTCAGGTGTCCCAAACACTTGATACAAAAAAAGAAAACAATAATAGAGGTGAAATCAGAATTATCATCTTACTTAAATAACCTTGATCGACTGAATTTGTTATGTTTTTTGTCTATTTCTTTCACAAAGTCCTGATTTTGGGTTCTCTGCAGACAAGGTTGATCGTCCTGTTAGTACCGCCATTTACTTCTTGCTACCTTCCGGGAGTGTATCACACCTTCATCGTATACCATGCGCAGAAACCTGGCATTTTTATATGGGTGAACCTATTACAGTATGTTCAATACATCATCTTATCTGTAATCCATGCTGATCTAGTCAGTATCTATTTAAAAATTTGATGGAATTCACTCATTAATTGAGATGCCCTATGGAGTTTCACAAACCAATTATAGAAATGAATCGGCTTATAATTGAAAATTGTGAATGGACAGCATGTGAGCATGATTACTGTTGTTTGGTGTTCTTAATGGATTAAACATATTTGCAGCAAGATCTTTTACACATGACAACATTGCGAAGTATTCTTGTTTGAAATTTCATTTTTAATGATGAGGCATGATCCAAGAAGGATTAAATTTAAAACTAGCCAGCAATCATATATTTTTAGATGTTATTCAAAACAAAAATTGCATAAAATGCATTTAGTTAGCTACTTTGAGAAATAAAGGAAGAAAAAAAAATCCAGATGATTACTGTGTAGCCCCAAATAAAGGACTTTTGACGGGAAGCAGAGTACTTTTCTCCATCTATAGTTTGTTAATCTAAGAAGTGCGGACAGTTCTATGAAGGAGACTTGTCATGCTGGACACGAACACTTTGTAGACACTTGTAAAAGCGTGTCCAACAAATTTTCAACGGGTCTTTATTAAAATAATAAATTCATAATATGAGGCACTTTACCTACACTTCACGGACACTTGAGCAATAATTTTTGAACCCCTTACCTATGCGATAAATCGCTTCATAGTAATAGCATTTTGCATTCTTCTTGATGCAATTTGTGCATTCTAAATATATTTTGAAGTATGTTTAAGATGAATCTATCATGTGTATTTATTATTCTACAAATTAATGTTTTAAGTTATGAAATATATGGTTAGTGTTATGTTATGTTTTTTATTTTATTTTATTTTATTAACTTTGAATAAACTATCCATATATATAACATATAATAAAGAGTAAATTGTTGAAAAGTCCAAACTAAGAACGGTATAAGGCATTAGATCCAATGGATATTTTTCTTAGTGAGGGGTCCACTTTTTGTAAAATAGTTTGGTGAGAAATTCTTTTTAACATTTTGTTTTCAATTTTACCTCTTAATTCATCTATTAACTTTTTTTGACTATTTATCCAAATTTATATCTATTTGTTCAAATTGATATCAATTTGTTCAATTTTTTCCCTATCTGTTGAATTCTTTTCCCTATCTGTTCAATTTTTTTGATTATTTGTTCAATTTTTTCCATTGTTCAATTTTTTTCTTTATCTGTTTAATTTCCTATACAAATTTTAGTATCTATTCATTTTTTTTTTCTATCTGTTGAAATTATTTTAATGTATATGTTTTAGTTTTTTTTATCTGTGCAAATTAGAGAGCTTCATGAATGGAGATCATTCTCATCAGAGGTAAACTTCCTTTGTGATAGGCCTTCAACTATAGAATCTAGATTGCCTTCCTATGGGACTGACCAGTATAGAAATTTCTTCATCAGCGCATCTTCAGACATAACATTCAAAATTATTTACTCCACATTGAATGCAAAAGGTAAACTGCCCAAGAATTTCTTGCAAGTATAACTTGAGAAGGAAACAAAGAGTGAGGAAATACCAAGCCCATTTTTCCTGTATATCTATATCTTTCTCTTTTCTGTACAGATCTGTGCAAATCAAACCCTATCTGTTCAACAAAAAAAAATTCTATCTGTTCAACTTTTTTTCTTTTTCCTTTCCCTATTTGTGTAATCTGTTTCATCATTATCATCATCATTAACAACAACAATAACAACAACAACATCATCATCATCATCATCATCATCATCATCATCAACAATAACAACAAAATAACAATAACAACAAAATAACAACAACAACATTATCATCAACAGTAAATCCTAATCTCATCTTCCCCAAACCCTAACATGTTCAACATTTTCTATCTTTTTTTCAACATATATTAGCCAAACCCATATCCAAATCCAGATCTTGACATTTCTAGGAATCCAAATCTAGATCTGAGCCTTATTTCTACAGAATGAATCAAATCAAATTCCATTAAACCCTAATTTCATCAAATTCTACAATTTTCTTGAATTCACACACACACACACACACAGACTTTTGTCTCGACCTCGCCAAAGCCGGCTGCAAGGTCATTGCGGTGGCTCGGTGAATCGACCGGCTCATGGATTTTAACTTCGTATGTGTTTGTACATATATATACTTACACAAAAAATTGTTTATAATTACAGTCATTACTGTGATGTTTTGGTGGCGATTGCTCTCTCTGACATGCACGAGTGTGAGTCCAAAAAAAATGTGAAGAGATTCAAAGGCGAAATTACATCTCAAAATGTTAAAGATCTGAGCTTTCAAGACCAATCCAGATCACCTTTTCGCTTTTTTATGTACGCTATGTTCTTCCTAGTAGTAACAATTGTATGCATATATATACACACATAAATGTATAAATGCTTTTATATAGGTGTAGTGCGTGAAAATATACACACGTATCAAATTTGTGTGTCTATACCCAGAATGTTGGTCATAAATTTTATCTAGAATGGTAAAGAATTGTTGAGATTGAATTGGTGTTAGATCTTGATCAAACTGCAGAGGATCTCAGGCGAGGATCTTGATCAGACCGCGGTGGCGGCAATCGAGCAGCAATCTTCGATTCTAAACCCTAGAAATCGACCGGTGAAGGAGATCAGACTCCGATCTAAGGCAGAGCAGAGCTGAGACCCTGAAATTGCTGAGTGGTTGATCTTAAACGATCTTGGTTAGGGAAGATGGCGGTGGTGAAGGGGAATTGGAGAAGAGGAGTTGTAGAGAGAGAGAGAGAGAGAGAGTGAGTGAGAGGAGTTAGAAAATGATTTGTTTAAAATGTATATAATATATATATATGCACAAGGTATCTTGATCATTCCACATTGTCTTACCCTTATGGACATAATAAATTAGGGCCTGGACCTTTAGGCAAGAATAATCTAAAATTGGATTTATCGCCAGAGCGCCCTATAATAAATTTATAAAAATATAAAATTTTAACGTCTCCGAAGCATGTAATGTCCTGCATTTTTTTTAAATTGTCATGTTGCTGTGTCCGTGTTGTGTATCCATGTCTGTGCTACCTAGGTTCGCTTTTACTTATTTGCATTCCTGTCTCAATTGTATTCTTACACCACCTTCTCTTTCAGGTAATGGAACTGAATGATAAAGATGGTACTGTCAAGTTAACATGCATCGGATCCAATCCAATGGTAGAAAATCAGCACCTGCAGTACACGGTACCTCCATACATTTGGTTTGGTGCATTTCCAACAAAGGACATCGACATTGACTCAGTAAGTGGAGCAGCAGTCAAAACTCCACCGAGGGATGGTGAGGAGCACTTTTCCCTGGTAGGATGCACCTGTGCTCCAGCCTTCCAGTTCGAGGATTTTGAACTGGCAAAACGCTCTGAGCTTGTTTCACACTTTCCGAAATATGAATCTCTCATTAAGTTGCTCACCTATGCTGAGTGACTGAGAGTTAATTTGTTTGAACTTTACAGGGGATATGTTTTTTAATATAAAAAAAATTAGACATTTCCACAGTTCAAACTGGTTGAGCTATGAGCTGTTTAAACTCCATACTGTAATAGGACCCTTACGGTTGGGAGCGTTTTAAAATTTCTTTTCTTGCTTAATCTGTGTTTGGTTCAACTAAATTATGTTTGTGACCATTGTAATGGTTATAAATGTTTTGTTTTTTTCCTTCTTCCAAAATCTTTGGTGCTATCATGACGGCATCTTGTGTTTATGGCAACATCTCACGCCTCATAAGCTATAAATAGAAATATTGATCCTTCGTTGAATGACTTTCTAGTTAGATCGTTCCTCTGTTTTAGCTTGGTATCTCATACAAATTCTGACAATTGATTGAGTGAATAAATCAACTTCAAAGTAGATTTGTTGTGCAAATAGTGCATTATAGTTGGTGGCCGCCCACCTGGTTGGGGTGGCTCCTCCTTTGTGAGTAAACGGGAAACCTAACGCTACGAACTTGAGGAAAGGTTACACCACAGTAGTAGGAGCATTAAGACCAGAGCCCCCACCTCGAAAGAGTGGTTCATGCATGCCTTGCTCCAAGGGTTCAATCTTCTACCAAGCTAGAGCAACAAGTTGCATGCTAAATAGCCAGTAGGTAGTCTCATTTGCAGGCCCAAAATCGATCTATTTAAAGCACAATCATAAGTGATAAAATATACTCCTTAAAGATACAAATAGTTATCGATCTATTTAAAGCACAATCATAAGTGATAAAATATACTCCTAAAAGATACAAATAACTATTTGTATTTTGATTCATATATATACGCCTTTCTTTTACAGATATTTGGCTATTAGGCATTCTACATGAGGCCATTACCAAAAATGAATCTAGAGCGATTACAACAAAATAGTCTTCATGTTACAAATGAATTGAGAATGATTACAACAAAATTGCTGCTCCATGCAATAATTCATTAGTGAAGAATGACAACGATGTTTTTAGTGTAAAATGCAAAAAAACTCCCATGATCAGGAGAGATTATAGACAAGGCAATAAACATTTTTCTCGGCATAACTTGAAAGAATTCAAAGACCTAGTGTACCACAGATGGTGAAACAGCCATGTATACAACTGACAACTACTAGCCTTTCCCCAAATTCGCTGGTTTAAATCTTTGAAAGAATAGCTATTTTCCCTTTGCATCTTATCTTTTCCCATTTGGTTGTTTTGTTTAAGAGAATCAATCGAAGAGAGCTGGGGGTTCCAAGAACCCCCATGTGTGCCCCCGTGCGCGCGCGCACAAGAGAGAGAGAGAGAGATGTTTAAGCAATAACTGCTAATCAAGATCAAGAAACTCCATTCTCTTTCTCATGGAGCCTTTCAAATCTGTGGCTTCCCTTTCAGCTTTCTGAACCTAGAGAGTGAACAACATGAAATGAATAAGCCAAAACCATTAAACACCACAAAGGTCATAGAAATTTTCTATCAACTAAAATCAAATAAAACCACATCAACGGTTTTCTAGTTTATTGTTTTTCTTTTTGTCTTAATGATTTTTTTTAAAAAAAAATTCCTTACTTTAGTCAATTTTTTTATATAAACTTTTTTCATGATACGATGTTCACAAGAATGTTTGTCAAAAAAGCAAAACCAAGCGTGTAAGCACACAAGCATCACGTGTGGACAAGGAAGAGTGGCTCAATTAGGCAATAATATTAGGATGACTTCATTTTCTTATCATATTTTATTTATCATCTAACATAACACATCCATTATCATCGGTACAATGAGCAAGTGTGGCATGTCAAGTGGTAAAAATATATATATAATACCCTAGTATTATTGCTTAACTAAGTTATGTATTTCAAAAATTGACGCATAAATACTAAAAAATTGTAAGAATTCATTGAGTTGAACTGATTCAGCCCTTGGTAATAGATAGGAAACCTTCCTCCCACTAGTTTGTGAAGAGGCCAATTCCAGTGACTAGAATTCATGCCACGGTGCTAGGAGCAGATAGCACTTGCTATCGCTCCAAGTCACAACCTCTAACAATCTAAAAACTACAAAAATAGATATGTTTGATAGAAATAACTATCTTTATCAACCATTAGAACTTACCCTTTTCATCTCGGCTGCTGACACTTGAATCATATGAGGGGGAAGCTCCTCTTTACCCGAGTCCTATACAATGAGCAGCAAAACTAAGAATGACGAGAAATTTCACTTTAGTGGTTAATTAACAATAGCCGAGTATCAAAAAGTAGAGATAACAGACAATACCAGCTCTCCTATTAAGACAACATTCTCCCCGCGGATTACATATAGACCTAAGGGAATGTCGGAATAAAGATCTCCAACTATAACCCGCTCACATGCCCCTTCTAAAACAACATTTGCTGCAAAGGGAAAGGAACTTCAATCAATACCTTGTGATTTTTTCCCTATATTTCTTTTAATTAATTTTTTTTTAAAAAAGTAACCCATAGAACTCAGTATTTTGTGAGACTAGATGATTGTACCAAATTGATCAAAAGAACGAAGTATTCCCAAGAGCTTCCGACCATCACGCAACAAGACCAAAAGCTTTTCTGTATAACAAATAAAAAAAGGAAAAGCAAAATTCAGCAACATTTCAAAGCACAATCTAATTAGTGTGAAATAAAAACCTTAATGCAAAAATAATAGTAAAATACAAATACTCAAAAGCAGAGGTTCCATTGTGACGATCTAGTGGGGACGGCAAATTGAACCTGATGAGCAAAGGGGTTGGTTGCTCAAGTGGTTATATCTCTAGGTGAGAGAGGGAGGTTTGGGGGTTAAGGTTATGAAGAACCATCAAATGCCCGGTTCTACTAACATACATACTCACACGCCAACAAAGAAGCATCGAATGCCTGGTTATATTAACATACTAATCAGCTAACATTTTACAGAATGCCCCAAAAAAAAAAGTGGTGGTAGGATTGAATGAATGAAAACCACAATAAAGCACAAAGTGCAGCAAAAATTGGAATCAGACGGTAAAACCAATATAGAACATAATGATAATATGTTCCAAGTAAATTTTGTAAAGCACTTAAGCATCCAAAACTCAAAGTTGTCAGTGTATACACAGACATCTATCATATACATATTGTATGCATAAATATGTATAGTGTTCAGAATCCGTAACAACACTTAACCAAGATTGGTGGGATGCGAAAAACAAAGAAGAAAAAACATAAATGAATTGAAAAGCACTTGTGCACACAAAGATCACAAGATTTACAAAGTTCACCCCAAACTAGGTTATGTCCATGGTCGTTGCGGTTCTACTATGATAGAAGGTTACACGAGAAATACAGCCGCCCCTCAACTACATAAACATAGAAAAAAGGGCAATAGGTTAAAGAATCTCTAAACTTTGCTCTTTTTCTTCTTTTTTTCTTTTTTTATCAAATTTGAGTGAAATTTTGGTTAAAAGCTTGATTTGATATAGAACACTCCGATTCTTACTCACTTTTTTCATCAAATCTTTTTGCAAAATTCCAAACATATCCTAAAAACCTATTTTAACCATTTTTTTGTGAAAGAAAACCACATCCAATCTTACTCTTTTCAAAATTTCATCAAATTAGAGTGAAAACATGACTATTGGGAATTTGATTATGGATTTGGTTCATCCTAGATTTGGTGAAAAAATCACCTCTCCCTTGATTTGATACATATTTGATGAAATAGTTGAAGCACACTTTTAGCCAATTTTTTTTATCAAATTTGAATTTGATAAAAACAAATTGATGAAAGATTGGAGATACCCACAAGTATGAAATAACAAGTGATTAGTGTCCAATACCACTACCCCAAATATATATAGATACATACGTATTTAGCACATCTAGAGAAAGAAACACAGAGAGAGAGAGAGAGAGAATATACTGTCAAGATAGCTTGCAAGTGAGGTGGAAAGGAAGATATCATCTGGGCCTGACCAAGACATGGACCTCAACCTGCTTCTGTGTTTCCAAAATCACCAAAACTTTTTCTGTAACCCCAAGAAATGGCATTGGCAACAAAATAAAGCTTCTGATCACAACTTCAACTTCAATTCATATACTCCAATCTGAACATACCCAATATTTCAAAATACACAAAAAAAAAAAAAATGCTCAAGTGTTTGGCTCAATACTCAAAAACATATAACAGTTGAGAGAACCATGAATTTGAGAAGACTTTTTCTTATAGAGATATTAGAACTAGGGTTTTAAAGTTGTTGAGCTAGCATTTAGGCCGGTGATTTTGGCAGAAAGACAATATCTTTTTATAAGCTCTTTGTCCCATAAGTCACTGCTTTCACAATGTCAACTAACCATACCATAAAGTCCCTCCCTCCCTTGGACACGTAAAATCTATACTATATATTAAATAAAAAAAAGTTTTTAATTCAAATTTTGTGAGAGTTTTAATCTCTTAATCTAAATTTTTTGATTTTTTAATTTAAAAAAAAAATCTTAACATTTATTAACTTATCCCAACTCTCAAGTCTTACCATCGTAATAATACTTTAATACATTAAGAACAAGTATAAAAAAAATCTTTAATATCCAACACATATAAATTTCTTGAAAAGTCCCAACACATATGATTATTATCCCTCATAATAACACTTTAATGTGTTAAGAATAAGCATAAAAAAAAATTGAAAAGTCCAACACATATGATTATTATCAAAATATTAAACTTTAATATAATATAAAAAATAAAAAAAAAAGAAGACATTTAAAATATATATATATATATATTTATTTAAAAATTGCAAATATATTAAGGAAAATGGGGTTTTTAAACCCCAAGTCTTGTGGGAGCTCCAATCTCTCAATCTTAATTTTCTAAATTTTTGATTTAAAAAAAAAATCTCAGCATTTATTGATTTGGTCAAAATCCCCTGATCAACATTTATTAACTTTTTCCAATTTACATGCCTGCATTTATTGATTTGGTCAAAATCTCTGATTAACATTTAAAAACCCCTCATACAAATAATTATAGACACAACCCGTGCATAGTTACTGCAGTAGCCTTTTTAATTTCTTATGTACACTATGATTAGTGATAAGATTGTTAAATTATTTTTATAAAAAATCTTAAAAAACATAATTTATATATTAAAAAAAATTAAATTACCAGCAAAAAAAAAAAAAAAAAACAAAAGAAAGAAAAGGTGTAAGTAAAGTGGGTGTTTGAGAAGTAGGTATTTTTTAGGCTTTTTGACTTTTTGACTATTTTAGTAGACTATTTTAGTTTTTGTGTTTGGAAATATAGGATAGATTTTTATTTGAGTTGTTATATTGAAAAATGTGTTTAAAATTATGTTTGAAGCTGAAATGACAAATTTGTCCCTAACCTCACTTTTTCCAAAATTGTCTAAAGGGGGAAAATTGACATTTCAGCTTATGGGACTAGGCTATCACTACACTGTCGACGTGAAAGTGTAGGCTGCCACTACTGGCTACTTTTCTTTCTTTTTTTTAATATAAATTATTGGTTTAGGATACTATTGAGGCTATTTGACTTTTTTAGTGTTTGAGATTATTTTAGCCTCAAACTTGAGTTCCAAACACCCCCTATATAAGAGGTCAAATTATCTTTTGACACCTAGATATTTTTGAATTTTTTTTTTTTTTTCCATGTCTCAATATCTCAAACAACTTTTAACCACATAATGTAGTTTTAATCAACTTTTAAATTAAAGAACTCACATATGTCTCAGGATCTTCCATATCTTTATATTTTAATACTTCTCTTTATCATATGATTAGATTAAAGAAATTCATCCTATAAAATGTCTTAAATTAAGTCACATATAAAATTCTAAATAAAGAATCTAGACCCTTGTCAATACAGTAAATCCAAGTTGTGCTTGAAAGTGGGTTGAGTAACCTCCATTCCAATAATCATATATTTCAAAGTTGTGCTAAGATGAGAATAGCAAGGATGTATTTGTTTTAAAAAAATAATACTAAGGTGGTCCCAATAGCCATGCTAGTGGTTGATATGACTCACTACCCTTTATTTTTCTTTCCATTTTACTTTAATAAATAATTTTGTTCACTAACTTTTTATTTTGATAGACAATATTATTCACCTTTTCATTTGATTCATTCTTTCTATTAGGATTCATTGTTTTGAATTCCACTGAGAATGTTATGATGCGCACTTATGAAAAAAAGTATAATTTCTCTCATAAAATGTATAGTTTTTATCATAAAAAATAAAATTCTTTCATCACAAAAAATATAATTTTTTTTTCTCACAAAAGTGTAACGAACTTTTAGGTGCACATCATAATTTCAAAATTAATAATTTTCATTACAAATATCATAACTTTCATCTCACAAAATACATAACTTCTCTCACAAAAAATATAAATTTTTCTATAATGTGCAAGTGCACAATGTAACCTCTTCCCCACTTAAAATAGTAGATTCTAGTGGAAGGATTAATAGATAAAAATATTCAATAAAGAAAACTCAATAAAATCGAAATCCATTTTGATAATGGATTGTAATATAAATATAATTCATATTATGCTACAGGAAAATTAATGGATGCTGTAATATATTTTGGTTATTTAACTTGAAGGGTTGAATTAAAAATATGAGGGCCCAATCTGTAATAATTGAGTTGATGATGCTAAGTCCCTCACATCAAATCATGCTTAGTGCCCCCACATGAACCACATTAAAACATTTAAATTTGCATGTTTTAAAGTCAGCCTAATTTTAGGGGAACAACTGGGTAAAATTCAATTAGGAATTAAGATTTTTATTTTTTTTTAATTTTTTTGGCAATTAGGAATTTAGATTACTTCTTCTCTGCATTTTTTTTTTTTTTTTGAATTGATTGATTCATTGAATTTTTATTTTTTTTTTTGAATTTGATTGATTCATTGAATTTTTATTTTATTTTTTTGATGTAGACAATTTTAAAAATTAATATAATTTAAGGTAAATTATAAATATATTTCTTGAGATTTATTAAAAATATGAATTTCTCCTCACATTTTGCAAATTACAAAATACTCACTTTTTAGAATTTTTCCTATAACTGATCTAATAGGAAGAAGAAAAAAATTACGCAAATATTCTCTTATGCCGAAATGAAATTATCATATTACCCTTATTTTCATTCACTCACTAGCAAATCCCTCCCTTTACACTTGCACAATATTCTCCAATCCTCCTCAAGGACACACCAAATGCTTGTAGACACTAATGATGGTGATATTGATCAAGAGTGGAAAAGGGCAAAGTAGTATTACTAGTTGATAGAAAATGGGGAATAAGGAAGGTGAAATAAGAAAAAGAAAAAGAAAAAGAAAAGTGTTTAACTGCTAAAAAAAATTGTTAATTACATCATATACTCTGTTAGTTTGTCTTAACGGTTGATTGGAAACCCTAAAAGGTGAGATGTAATTTCTTAAGCATGAAGAAATAATTTGTATTTTCAATAAATTTTAAGGAATGTATTTATAATTTATTTTATGATCTACGTGGACTTAGAAGAAACCATAGAAGGAGATAAGTGATTGTTGATTCTAGAATCAAGCCTAAGTGAATTGTTTGGATCCTAATTTAAAGTATTTTCTAGATCAATGATTATACTAAGGCCTGGTTTGATTTGGGGTGTTTTAAAAAAGTTAAGAAATTACAAAAAAAAGTAAAAAAGTTATCATTATTCACAAATTAAAAATATTAAAAAATTAATATACATAATATTTTAATCAAACAAACTTTACACAATTTCCGAGACTGAATTGACCCTTTAGTACCGTGAGGGAAAAAAAAAAGAATTACATATATAAAATCACTAAGTTAGACGGAAATATTGGGCCCATGAGGACCCATCACAGGTCCCGTTTTGATAATCTAAATCAATATGTAGAACTCGTCCAGAACTATATGTTTATAAAAAAAATCACGTTAATCGAAAATTGCTAGCTACATGATCAAATCAGTTATATATAAAAAATGGATAATGTTATAGTTAACAGTTGATAAGAAAAACTTATACGATCAGATAGCTATCGATATCCAATCAATGTGATTTTTTATAAGCATATAGTACTCGACGAGTTCTACACATTCAACGGTTTCGATTAGCAAAACGAGACATGTGGTGGACCTCCACGGGCTGAACAATACCGTCCAATTTAAACCCGAAAAGTAGGCAATCATTTCCCATCTCATACCAACCCACTAGCATGCCCAATATGTACGGCCGAATCCACTAACTTCTCCTACAAACTTATTTATACAATTTTTTAATACACATTTTTTCGTAAAAAATCAAAAAGTCAACCCAAATATTTATCTTTTTTTCCTCAACTTTTTAGTTCAAAAGATAAAAAATACATTTATGTAGGACACCCCAAACAACCCCTAAATAGCCACTTTACACGTATTAGTCGTACCATAGGTGATTAATTTATGTGTTGGCGTTCAAAGACCCTGTTTGGTAGAGCTGTGGGAAAGTGCTTATAGTTTATGCCTTAACAGCTTATATCTTATAAACTATGAACATAAGCTGATTTCTGACTTATAAATTAAGCATCTCCTGCTCCACTCAAAGAATAAGCTGATTTCTGACTTACAAAAAGTTATAAGCTGCATTATTAAGCTAAACCAAACACATCAAAATAGCTTAAATTAAGCTGAAAGCTGAAATAAGCAGTTTTTAAGCTGCCCCAAACAGGCACAAAATGATTGTGACACCGCTTTTGCTCAACAACCCCATACAAATTTTTAAATGAGTGATTTTTGTTAGGGAAGTGCTTGCTTTCGTAAAATGCTACGTGAAGCCTCTAATGATTTGCCTACTGTTTTTTTTTAGACGGTTTAATGATTTGTCATTTCTCTCTTAAATAAGAAAACTATTTAAAAATTGATTAATGATAAATAAATAAATCATACATAATTTTTTTAATAAAATGATACTTGATGATACTATTTGTCCCTGATAAACAGGTCGGGCTAATCCACGCCTCCCACACCGTTGTCCGATCGCTGAGCCCATTGAGAAACCTGCACAAGAGTCCAACGGGGAACAGGAGTCCCCCAGCGAACCCTCCGACGAGCAAGTTAGAGAAGAGATATTAATGGAATACAAAAGTATGATGGTGATAAAGAACTTAACCTTCTTTTTGTCTTAGAAACCTGCTTATATCCTTTTTTTCATCATTTCCTTGTCCACTAACCTGTCATGTTGGCCGAAAGTCTATGTTCTAGCTTGCCTTGTTCATGATGAGGCTGTTCTATTCCGACGTGAAGGAGTTATCGTATTAAATGCTGCAGGGAACCTCATTAATGGCTAATGTGTGGTGCA